ACGCTCTTGGATAACGAATCCGGCATGTTTTCTCATGTTTAATAGTTGACTAGCAAGAAGCGAGTCTCAAGTTCAACATAGTAAATAAGGGAGCCGTCGATGCGTGGGCTTACAGATATTAGTGCCTTGGATGTTGCCTTTTCGGCCCTTTCATAAGGTATTTGCCCGCCCAGGACATCGATGGCGGGAATGTGTGCAATCGCGTGGAATGATACTTCACCAGTCATTATATACGAGTTAACAAGTTAACACAGGTTAAATACCGATACGAAGGGCGCGTCACATCATGCGCACGGGTAGCACGCGTGCGTATCATCCGTGGTGCGTCCACTGTCCATGTTCAGCGTGCGTAGCGAAACGGTTCGTACGTACGTGCGAACATCAGCACGACATTACGAAGGCAGCCGGTGCATGCCGTGCATAACTTATTTCATGCCTCGAGAATACGAGGCGAGTCTGCGCTAGGGCAGGCGGCGTGTGCCACCGCCTTCAACCTAGTGCGGTCCGTTCAGTGCGATGGTCCCGACGGCCCGAGGAACCCTTCTAATAGGCTTCCAACGTTTTGAGGTTCCCTCCGTTCTTTCGGACCCATGATGCTGCAGCGTTGCACCCGGCCTAGCTCAAGCGGCAGCTGCCGCGCCGAATAGGTCTTTGGGTTGCGCGGCTACCGGGGTGGCGAGCTCGGCTCCCCCATGGCGATCTTGTTCAATCGCGACGTCCAGCTGTGTCTCAGACTTTGCTTGCTGCAATGTCCTCTCCTGCGAGCAGCTCCAATTCGGACGGCACACCCGTCGACGGCCAAGGCCCTCTCGGCAGAGGCATCCGCGTCGACAGTCAGGGATTGATCATGCAGCCCCACATGATGGCCTCGGGCAGCGGCCCCGCTCCCGGCGGTGCTGGTCCGGTCGGCACGACTCTCGGTCTCGACACGGCCAGCGGGAACCCGGGCACCACTGCCGCCCCCTATCCTGGGCCTCTGCAAAGTGGCGCCAGTTGCGGAGTCACTTCCGGGGAGGCTGTTACCATCGACGTTGGCGAAGCGGTACCAGAGAACGCTGAAGTCCCGGAACAGTCTGGTCTGTACCCCGGCTCCGAGCTTATACTCCCACCTGAAGTCGTGAGCTTCATCCGCGAGAAGCTTATGCCTACCGCCCAGTACGACGTCTCATCCGCCCTGGTACCTCTTCGGTACCAAAGCGAAGGGCTCGGAGGCTCAACCCGACCCTGCTGTGGAGCTGATGCGGCAGAAGTTCGAGAAGGCGTACAATGTACATGCCCCTTCAAGGTATCTACTCTCGGCCAAGATCTTCGCCAAGATCCGTAAAGGCGAACCGGTGCGCGAGGACGAATGCGGTTTCTCCCCAGTGAGCGCCAAGATGAAAAGGCGCATGAAATACAACGCCGAGACCGGTGAGATTGAGGTTGTGGAATACGTCCCAGCCTGGGACTCCCAGGCCTACCTCGCTCGTCATTCGGAGCCGCGGATTTGCTGCTGAACATATCGAAGTGGCTGATCGGCCACTGCGTGCTGCAGTAGCTCAATCCTGCGGAAGCACTCCTCTACGTAATGAGGTTGTGCGACAACGGCCTGCAGTCGGACATCCTCCCCCTAAGGCGCTTGGACGCAGAGATGAGAGTCTCATCATGAGACTCGAAGCCATCGCCCACCCGACGGAGATGGGCCCTCAGCTGGTCACCGGCAACTCCGACATCGTCACCCGTCACA